AAAAAAATTTACGAGTTTGGATAAAAATGAAGGCGTTGAAAAATGAATGTGGCACAGAAAGAAACTCACAATTAACAAACACCATAATAGGTCTGAGTGTCGTATGGGGTAAGACGAGCATATTCCAAATGACCCTTTCTTTTGGCAAATTAATTATTCTCGAAAATGATGGCAACAGAACTTTCTAAAAATGAAATGACTGCTTGAAACAAACGATGCCTCACTTAAAGTCTGAATGAATTCTTGATCTATCAATGCCTTCCTCCAGATATCTCCTCAACAAATTATCTTGCCTACGTTTCATTTAGCATCTTCTCAACTTGAATCTACATCACATCAACAACATTCATATGTTTCGAAACAGATATTCGACGAAAATTTTTTTGTGTTTATGAAGAAATCGATGGATTTTTTGTGCGCATCTGAGAGATAAATCATTGATATGGTTCTTATAAAAACGCACTGAAATACAATCAAGAATAGATGTTCTCAAGAAATGCACAGTCAAAATCGCTTTGAAACATTATGTGCTAATGCTTGAAACTTACACCGCAAGTCCACTCATAGTTCAGCAAGAGATCGTAGTCTATCGAGAAACCAATCAAAAAAGCACATATCAGTGCGATGAATGGTGGACCCAAGGCGACGATCAGGAGCCGTCGAAAGTTGAATTCATAAAGAATCAAATCGGTTGGCTTCGAAAGACTTTTCTCATTGGAAGGCGGCGCATCCGTTGTCTCGTAGGCTGTCACGGTTGCTGTGCTCGTAAAATTGTCCTCATTGATCTCAGTGCTACTGCTTGAAAGACCAGTGGTGCTCAGAGCCGATGAAGAGGTGCTGATACAACGAACACTTTCAGTTTCGGCCACTTTATAGATGCCATCTGCCGAGTTGTCATCGTGCTTGCTGACCGGATCAGGGAATTTTGGTGGACTTTTGATGGTGATCGGATCAAGCGGTGCCAATGGTGTCAACTGAAACGATCTAGTGATCGGAATGACGATCGTAGTACAACTGAACATCACATAAAAAACACACACA